CCCGACAAGCAAAGCAGCAGAATGTCTCTGGGGTTTATCCAGTTCCCTAACGGTTAAATAGTTCTTAAAGTCTTCTCTGCTGTTGCTGGCTCGTTGGTGCTCTTGCCGGGGGACCTCAATGGAAATGCAGATGACATCCCTCTTTCAGGTGGGTCTTCGGTGAATGCTGGCTCCCTCAGGCACGCTCGCTCCATGCCCAAACCATTCTTAACAGTTGTTTTTGTTACGTGCCATCAAGCCAGTTCCAACTCATAGAAAATGTAGTGACTGGTGAATTTGAACTACTGACCTTAAAGCTCAAACAGATCTTGCAGTCCAGTGTGTACCCTACAGCGTCACATTCCCTTCTTGCAGTAGTCTAGCACAAAGTGGTTATGCAATTCAGGAACTTTATTTTGTTACCCAACTAAATTATCACCATCTATTCGATTCCAACTCACAACAACCCTACATAGGGTTTCTAAGACTAATCTTTATGAAAGCAGAAAACCTCATCTTTCTCCCAAAGACTGGCTGGTTGATTTGAACCAGTGATTTTGCTCATTGGCACACCACCAAGGTGCCTTTGATTTGTTATAGAAGTAGTAAATTGTGCATTCATTTGTTTAGGGGGAAAATGAATTGACCATGTGGCCAAGCAGAACCTACCCAATCAAGGCAGTTTGGTTTGTTCATTTTCCGAGTAAGAAAATCAGCAGATAAGCTCAATATCTTTCACAAAATTATAATTCACTTTCTGGAAAGACCAAAACAATGTAACATTTTCTTCCAAGAATCTGGTGACTATCCAAATATGATCAATAGTTTCATTACAATCAGTTATAGAGATTAAACTTAAAAACAGCTACAGGAAAGACAGAGATAAGATCCATTGCTGATGGTGATGCTAAGTGTTGTTGAGTCGGTTCTAACTCATAACAACCCTGTGTAGGGTTTCTGAGGAGTGACTGGTGGGTTTGAACCACCGACCTTATGGTGAGCAGTCAAATGCTTATCCTACAGCACCACTAGCAACTGTTAAAACAAAAATCTTATTAAGCTGTAATAGAAACTGATTGAAGTTTATTAAATATACAATTTGCATACCAGGGTAATATTTTGACTAGATAGTAAAAAGTGTTCCAGATATAAAAGAAACTCCAAAGATCTATTATTATTATTATAATTGCTGTGATTTTAGTGAGAGTTTACAGAGCAAATTGGTTTTCCATTCAACAATTCCGCACATTTTGTTTTGTGACATTGATTGTTATCCGCACAGTATAACGGTGC